AGTCTGTCAAAGACATACCTGTTAAATACTTTGTTTCATAAAAATTATTTGGAGGGGTTAATACAAGGCAGAGCAGTTTTCAAATGTAGTGGAAAGAACATGCCCTGTTAAGTGTAGATAAGTAGCAGGAATTTAAATATATAGATCCTATTTGGTTATTACACATATATATTTTCATGTGTGTTTTTCATTTCCTTCTCAGTCTAAACCACTTATCCCTCTTCAAAAAGAAACTGACCCTGAGACACAGAAAACTGTGCTTACCAACTACATGTTTCCCCAGCAGCCAAGGACTGAGGATGGTAAGAATCTCTGAAGCGGCTCTGTCAGAAAGCTGACTCCTGCAAACAGAAATAGGAAGAGAGTCCAGCTAGCATGCTTTTCACTAGATAATGCTACGTAGGTACTTAAAACTGTGAACCAGTAATTAGGAAAGTGCAGGAGAAGATGCATTTGAGTGGGAAGCGGGCTTGTGTGGGGAGTGGTGTGGATAGCACTCCTCCACGTGACAGTGTATTTCTTTCCAGCAAAGTAAAATGGTTTGCTGGCTTTGTGCTGGTGTCTGCTTCAGGCTTAACAGTTTTAAGAAGGTTTTATAAAACATGCTTCGTCCATTAGGGAGAACAACAGTTAAATACAGATCATTATCCATTAAAAAAAAGATCAGTTAGAAGTAGGGGGGAACTGCTTGCATTTAAACAGAGCTGCTTTATAAACTGTTAGGCACAGACCTTGCTAGAGAGTTAATTCTTGTGGGTAGCTGCAAAAATGAGTGATATCCATGAGTTAACCCATCAGAAGTAAGGGAAAGACAGTAAGAGTCTGTGTATTTCTGCTCTGCTCTTTGCCATGCAGGTAAGAGGAAGAAGCTTGTATCTACTTAACAGAAATAGAGACTATTCCTATGATAAATGAAGTACACTAAGCATTATGTTTAGATGTAGTAGAGGGAACATCGGGAATCACTGTGAACTGAGTGCTGGCTACATTTTCTGTTCCATAGCGCAAGCCTCCAGTACGCTGAGAGAAGTAATTGGAAAAGTATCTGGAAACACAGTAAATTGTATGTCCCTTCAAGCTCTCTAATGTAGATAATGCATCTGCATTATCTGTGTTAGAATGTAAGGGTTGGAAAAGCATTGGGAAATTGTTAGTGAAGTAGAAGGTAGTTCTTGAAAGGTTGTGCCTTCCTTTTAGTTCCCCTATAACCATAATTTATCAGTAACTTATTCTCCCTGTTCTTTGTTTTCATGAAATGGAATCAGCAAAAGTGCTTACACATTATTAAAGGCAGGATATTTTTGTGTAAAAATACACACACATAGACCCCCCCATCTGTCTAAATATTGATGTATATTTTACAGCTGAGAGGTTTCTGCAAAGGATCACAACTGTGGATGTTCACACCAATCTACATCTGTATATAAGAAGCTTCTTCTACTTTACAGATGGAGATTTAACCATTATGAAAATATGGCCAAGTTCTTAGAGCTGTGACAGCACAGTTAGTCTTCAACTTTTGGCACTGCTAGTCTCTTATCTTTTTGCACATAAATCCTTTCCAAGGAAAGGAAAGAAGAAAAAATTCTTATCTTGTATAATTTTCACATTCTTACTAGAACCTGTCTTGCTGTCTTTGTTTGTTTGTTTAGTTATGTTCATATCTGATAATGAAAGCTTCAACCCATCTTTGTGGGAGGAACAGAGGAAACAGCGTGCTCAGGTGGCTTTTGAATGTGATGAAGACAAAGATGAAAGGGAGGCACCACCTCGGGTTAGTACTCAATGTATTTCTGGATCCTTCATGCTTCCTGCCTCCTCTTCCCTTCATCCTTTTCTGGTTGTGGATTTCACTATGTTGAAAAATCAGGTCTTCAGTTACTATTTTAAGAGTATCTAAGAGGATCCATCTCTTCCTTCACCACTTCTTTTTTTCTTGGTGGAGGGGCAGATTATTAGAAATGGAGCACACAGGAAAAGGTGGTGTACCGCAATGCTAGGACAGTACTGAGAGTGCTGGGGTGAGGGAGTAGTGCAAAATGATTACTCCTGTTTTACTTAAGTTTTCCAAGGTTTTCTTTAAATACTTCAAAGTTGTAGTAGTTCTTCCTGCTTCCAGTAACTGGAAAATTAAAAAAAAAAAAAAAAAAAAAAGTTTATGATCTTGCTAGGCTTTGTCCAACTTATCTCTGAGTTGATCCAAGTAGACTGAGACTGGGAAACTGAGGTTCTAGATTGTTCTGCAAAGTGTCTTTTCTTTGTTAAAACTGATTCTTTATTACATTAAATTAGAATATTGTTGCTTATTTTAATGCAGGAGGGCAATCTGAAGAGATATCCAACTCCATATCCTGATGAACTGAAGAATATGGTCAAAACAGTCCAGACAATTGTGCACAGACTAAAGGATGAAGAATCTGCAGAAGATACTGCCAAGGAGTCAAAACGAGAAGGCCCAGCAGTTTCTGTAAAAGATGTGGGGGTAAAGGTTAGCCATGAAATTTTCTTCTTGCTTTGCAAGGAGGTCCAAAGATCTAGAGGATCACTGACATCTTTTAATTTTCTTCTCTTTCCCAGTACTGTTTTAGGAAGAAAAGATATCCAATTAAGGAATAGAATTTCTCTCTTTAATATCTTTAAAATAAATGGGTGGCATTGATTTTTCCTCTGACACTAAGAAGAAGGAAAGTGATTTGCTTCTTGGGCAAATATGGAAATCAGTTGTCTCTTCAGTTTCTGAAAAATGCCCCTGTCATGTTTTGATCCTCCTTTATCTGCCAAACCTCAGAATGAAGATCAGGATCTTGCCACTGCCTTCATGCCTCAAGGATTTACAGGATGAATTAGGAGTGCAACAGTAGTGAATTGGCACAGGCGTCACTGCCAGGACAGCAAGGTGTTCTGACTGTTGGCTCGTGCTGACATGTCTCATTGTAGATTTTCATGCCCCCTCTGCCTGAGGAAGGCAGATTTGTGAGGGGTAGGGAACTCTATTTCAGTAATCTACAAAAATGTTTCTCTACTGGGTGCATTTCATAGTACATTATTTAAAAGGTCAGATTTTCAGTTTCCCAAAATATGTACTGTTGACTCTACATACCATATCTTACTGAAAATCTTTCAGGATGTTTTTCTGCTAATATTTTTAATCCTGCAGACATCAGAAATCGCTCCAGTTAAAAACAAAGCAGAGGAGAGAAAGCAATTTTTTTGTGCAGAAGCCTACTGAACCAGAAGCTGAGCACAGCACTGCAAATTCGCAGATGACTGCACTTGTTAAAACCTTAAAGAACACAAAAACAGTTGTCAACCATGAAGACACGCTCGAGGTATGGGATCGCGATGAAAATCATAGCAATCGGAGAATTGTGCTGGTGTGGAACAAAGTACATGTTACTCTGAGAGATAGCAATGAAAATTTATGTTGGCAATAGCAGAAAATTGCCATTTGTAAGTGCTGGAAGTACAGATGGGTGATAAAGCAATATTTCTCTGACTTCAGACTGCTATAAGTAAAAGCTGAAATACCTAATTAAAAGTTTATAATGAAATGATATATGGATTTAAAGAAAAAACAACTCCAATTCATCATCATTTTTTAGGATTATTTACAGACTTCTCAAAAATTCTGGAACTTGTCAGTTAACCAGTTGCCTGTCACAAGTAAAGTACTAGTACTTTTTTTTTTCCCTCCAGTATCACCAGATCCTTGCCTGTGTTGTGTAAGCAGGGGATTGTGATTTCTTCGGAGAGGCAGCTGTAGTTGCTGCTGGCTCTTTCTCCACTATATACATACTTCTATGTATGTTACAAAATTTGGGGCTTTGACAGTTTTCTTTAGTGGAAAACAAGATTTCAGCAGTTCTTAATAGATATTTAGCTATTCTGGCAGCAGTTCTATAAAGCTGGCTGTATAGCAATAAGCAACTAGGACAGCAGTGCATAGTCCCTTGGGGAGGCATCCCGACTTCTTACTTCCATGTGAGAATCTGCCCCTAACTTTGTAGCAGTTGAATCGAAATACCTAAACTTCACATATAAGTTCTTTATTTCACACAATGACATAAAATCTAGGAGGAAATGAAGTGTGGTAGAGAGTAGCTGTCAGGCTCTCTCTTCTGCTTGCAAGGATTTTTTTTTCTTTGTTTTTAAAGCAAGATTTTTATGACAGCTGATATATATATTTTGTGGTATTTGTAAATGGAAGCATGCATACTAAAATGAAATTTCAGAAAAGGATTTTTTTCCTTCAATATCTTATTGAAAATAATGGTTTCCTGAAGATAATAGGAATACAAACCTGGCAGTAGACACTGAATTCAGTCACGTTTGCCCTTGCAGGCAGCTTTGTCAGTTACTCTCTTTTATAAATACACTGAGTTCCATCTTATGGTTAGAAGCTTGCTGATTTCTAGCTTAAACATATTCAGCATCACGTTTTTTAACTGTGCTTGATCTTTGTTTGCTGAACTTCATAAGCCAAGCTTATTCAGCCCTTTCTCATAACATACCTCTCCTTTCTTAAGGACATCTTGGTCTTGCTGCTGTATAGCTGTTGGAGTTCAGATTTCTTTTTGCAAAATCAATATCCAGCTAATCAGTGCCTGGGGTTTTCCCCTGCTCAGTGATGAATTACTTAATGGAAATCAACTGGGAGCAGAGGAGAAACAAACATCCCTGATATGTCTTAACAGGAGTAGACTGGCAATTCCTTAGCACGTCCAGTTGTGGGCTCTGAAATTCAGTAAAGATGGGGACCTGTTGTGTAGAGTCCAAAGGAAGAGACATTAGTAATGAAAAGTCTGGAGAATTATAAGGAAACCTGAAAATGTTATTGTCCTTTAGTCTAAAAATGTGACAACTTCGGAACAGAAGACAAGGGGAGCAGATGCCCACTAGCATCTTACAACGTGTGAAAAGCTCCTGCAGAGAGACAAGGAGTGAACTTATACCGCATTTCTACTCTTAGCAGGACAGAAAAACATTGTTATGCAGTAGCACAAATACTTACCCATCTGTTACTGGAAATATGTTCTCAGTCTGTATTTACCATTCCGTGTTATGGATTTGTCTGGACAGCAGATCTGTTTTTGCATCATTGTGTAATGATAAATGATGGGTGGTGCTTCCTGACTTGAGATGAGTCAAGAGTTCTCTCGCAGGTGGTGAAATGGAGGCTGCATCTGCCTCTGCCAAACAGTTCTTGTAGCTAAAGTTGATACCAGCTTGACAGTCATTCTTGTGAAGTTTGTCAGAACCACAGAATCACAGAATCATTATGGTTGGAAAAGACCTTCAAGATGATCGAAACCAACCGTAAAAGAGCATAAGTCTGCACATGCTGTTTCTTAAAGATAATTCAGGGGCAAAAGTTATGAAACTCAGTTCACTTGCACTACAAATACTTGCAGTTGCTATAAGAAGTAGGACTACATTATGTTGCTTGATTGTGCTTTTCTACTTTATTGTTTGGTGGGTGACAGTTTAGACTACACTTGACCTTTAAGCAGTTGTGTAAAGTGCAGAACATAAAGCAGTTTTTCCTTTAGCAGGAGTCAGAAGAACTCTCCTCTGATGAAGAGATGAAAATGGCAGAAATGCGGCCTCCATTGATAGAAACCTCAAGGAATCAACCAAAAGTGGTAGCTCTTAGCAATAACAAAAAAGGTTAGATACCATTTAAAAAAATAGAAATGTATGTTTCTGATAATTTCTTGACCTGAAATGGCTATTTGCCTAACTAAATTACATAGAAGTAGATTAGAATGAAAGCTCTGGAGCTAGTATTTAGCTCTGCAATACGTAAGATTTTCGCACCTCTAGCTGTCTTGCTACAAAACTGATTATTCTTTTGCACACTGTGTCAAAATCATGCCTCACTTTACATCTCAGATAAACGTTTTTTCCACTTGAATGTAGTGCACACACATGCATACGTGTTGTGTAAATGTGCACAGGTTTAGATGATTTTAAGAATACTGTCTTAAATGACCTGAAAAGCATAACAGTACATTGGATCCCTGTTATGCAGAAGAACATTTTCGCTTTTCCATTTATGAACATATATAGACCTCGTCCAATGATACAGTTCCTTCCAGACTGTCTAGCTTAATAAACAGGTATTTAATAATGATGCTAGAAAGTGTATAAAAATGTGTATAAAAATGATATAAAAAGTGTATAAAAAATGTCTATAAAAATGATATAAAGCAGTGTGCTTTGTTTTGATAGGGACTAGTAGGCATACACATTTCAAAACTTTTCATTTGTAAAAACGACTGCTTTTCAATAGATGTTATGGGAAAAAAATTACATAGCATAGCATTGGCTTATGACAAGGAAACATGGGAAAAAAAGGATCAGGTTAAATTTACTTAATAGGTGAGGGTTGCTTACACTGAACATAGTATTTCAAAAAATAATAGGAACTTTGGCCAAAAGTCTTGTCAGTAGGCAACTGTAGAATGTTTGGGAAACTGATGTATTATACTTTAGTTTCCTGTAATAAGTATTACTTAAAACCAAGATATGATTTTTCAACACACAAGCAGATATGCAGTAAACATTTTTTTTAAAAGTACTTGTCTGCACCTAAGTGGCAATTTTTTATTTCAGATGATTTAAAAGATGCCGATTCCTTGTTGGATGAGCCTACCCACAATAGCAATCAAAATAACAGCAACTGTTCCTCTCCTTCTCGAATGTCAGATTCAGTTTCCTTAAATACTGATAGCAGCCAAGATGTTTCTCTCTGCTCTCCAGACAAAGAAACGCCTGCAGCTGTTTTATCCAAAATCAGGTTTGTAAGATACTACATGCCAATGAACAAGTGCAAGTTTGGAAGGAACAAGTATGTTCCTTAATTTTTTTTTAAGTCCTTTTAATTATTACTTGACCAGTTGTTATTTTAACCTGTTTAAAATAGGTACTTGATGTAAAATAATGGCATAGTTCTCTCTGAGTTTTGTTGTCCTACATTTTTAAAATGCAAATGTTAGTGTGCAAAACATGGTTCCCTTCTGATAATCAGGTAGAATAATTTAAATCTTCTCATACTTTATATGCTTCTAATACATTATTTTAAAAATATTGTGTTTTTATTTTCTATTTCTTTTAATTAATTAATTTTTATTTTCTATTTGGATATCAATTTTATTGCCAAAACAAGTTTCTGGGGTTTTTTATACTTACTATAACCATGGACATGGTGATTTGGGCTGTCTATAGTTTTAGTTAACATGTGCCCTTTACTTATAAAGTGCCAATAGAAATAAAGTAAATTGTTAAAATAAAATAAAATTTTAATTTTAAATTGTTAAATTGTAAAAATTCTCCTGGGACTTGAAAGAATCCAAAAAACAGTATGAATGATTGTCACTTCGTTCTTTGTGGCTTTTTATCTGTCTTTAGTCATTAGTACTGAATTTAATTAACCTTTTGAAATCACAACACGATCTCATAATTAAAGACCTAAAAAAGAATTGTCAAACTGAAACCTCCAAAAAATATTTTTATGTTGGTAAGATAGCAAATCATAAACTGGTTGTATGTAGATCTGTCCTGGATTTTGCGCACAGTACGGCTGTGTTGTGTGGTAATGACTTATTTTCCAATTCTTAATACAGGAATATATTACTTTAATTTTGAATTTATTTCAGGAGTTTCTTTTTCTGTTTTTTTTTTTCCCCCTCCAGACGAGAAGATGAAAATTTGAATAGTCTTCTGCAAAATGGAGGTGAATTAAATATTACAGTAGAAGAAAAAATAAATGTGCAAGACAAGGTTACAAATTTGTCTGATTATGAATTAAGCGTTGAAGAAAGATTAGGCCTGATAGGAAAAGGTGTTGATCTGAACACTCCTATCGACGAGTCTCACAAATTAGACCAAATAAACATGAACATCAATAAGCTGGCTAGTGAAGAGCCCGTACAAGTTCCCATGGAAAGATTAAAACCACAGGAAATAGCATCAGTAAAAGGGTTTTTGAATAACAATGTGAAAGAAGAAAACGAGCAACTGGAAAATGGAAATAAATATCCTATACATAAAGTAAATGGGCATCCTGAGGAAGCAGTAGACTCTCCCATTAGAGAAGTAATGCGCAGCACTACAGTTGAAGGTGATTCACCTGTTGAGCTGCCTGTTTCAAAAAGCACTGAAAATCTGTCCCCCCAGAGAAGTGCTTCTGTGGTGAAATCGCACAGCATCACCAGTATGGATCCTGGGGCTCTGAAAATCTATGACATTGTCAATGACAACGGACCTCAGCAGCCAAACGCAGCAGCTAAGTCAGTGTCTAGTAGCACAGATGGAAAAAATATAGTGAGGAGTAAATCCGCTACTGTTCTGTATGATCAGCCTTTGCAAGTTTTTCCTGGATCATCATCGTCATCCGATTTAATATCGTCTACAAAGACAGTGTTCAAGTTCGACTCGAATCACAACCCCGACGGTGCTAGCGCGGTGCGAGGGTCAGTTGCGAGCGGAGCCCCGCTGTTCTGCGCCCCGCAGTACAACATCCAGTACAGCAGCAGCGCGGCGGCCAAGGACA